AGGTTTAGTAGACTTAGTACTCATTACTTAAACTACTATCAGACGATCGTGAAGTAGAGTTATAGCTCTTGTCGTTCGTTTAACTTATATTATAGTACTCTCTCTCTCTCTCTCTCTCTCTCTCTCTCTATTTCTGTTCGTCTCTGTGACCCTTGGATATGTTTGAAAATATTTCCAAATGGAAATCTCAAATATTTAGAAAAAGGCATGTGCTTACAATCTTTTGACTATCTCTCATAGCTCTGACTCCCATCATTTAATGGATCAGCATTGCATCCTGATTATCTGTTCATCTGTTTAAAAATAGATTCCCTTCGTCTAATACCATGAAAGCATATAAACTTCTCGAATATGGAACCTATCATGGTATATCTTAGAGTAATTTAGGATGGCGCCATCTTATAGAAAAGACTTTGGTTAGTTTTCATGCATAAGGACTTCAGTTTAGCCCTTGATATTCACAAATTATTTCTTGAGTTGGCTGATTGAGAGTACTTTGTGGAATATTATTTAGCAGCTACAACTGAACGTTCTAAAATAAAATTTGAGCTACATCACTAGACTTATTTCATTCATCTTATTGGTACCCGTTCTTACCCTAATTTGTCCTCTCTTTTCTTTTTATGTGGCAAATGAATGTAAGTTTGATGGCTAAATATTTTATGGGTTTGGAGGTAACTGATCTTGGGTAGTTTTGCTCCTTTTTTCGTTCAGAAATAATGCTGGTGTTATGTTCTGTCCATATCAACTCTCAGATGATGGTATAGAAATGCAGTTTGCAACAAATCATCTTGGTAAGCTCATGTTGCTAATTTTAGATTGGTGTATTTTCAGCTGCAACTTTATCACAGCTATACAAGCAGAAGAGTCTACTTTCATCATTACTAATTCAACTTACGTACTCCTGTCCAATATAAAATTGGGGTTTCTTAATCCATTTTTTGGTTACAATCTAGTTCCATGAATTGCGTACAGTAGAATAACTATTGATTCTTATCCTCCTTAATACTTATATTTGAATACATACATGCATACATACATTTAAATAATTTAGTTCCTGCAATTTTAAATTCTTGCTAGTACTATTCACATGTATGAGTTTGGAGAGCAAGATGGGACATGTAAAATACTGGAAAAGGTCTCAAGAATTGTTATGCTTGATACATCAGCCAAGGATATACATGTTTACCACCATAAGTAGAATGAAATGGAGAGAGAGTATACTTTTCTGTCATATGAGCAACTTACCTGAATCTGTAATTCAAGTTGAAGCTGCAGCTAGAAATAGCTATTAGACTTTACATCATATGCTAGGAAGATTGAGAGACATTTTCATCTCTTTATATGATCCCATTCAGTTTCTTCAAAGGGAAACTCCATTCAAGGCTTGTTGATGCTGCTGCCTTGGCTGAGGATTTGCAATCTTTCTTTTTGAAGCAAATGAAGACTGTGTAACTGAAGGCACAGGTGTAACTAGCATTTGTCCTTTGTATGAACTGGTTTGTTGACGTTGTAAATAATATCTTCTTTTGGAATTCAATCATCCTATCCTTGTCTTTAGCATCAAGTCTAAGGTTGGGTGCTCCTGAAGTGCGGTATCCAGGTTCATCGCTTGTCTCCTCTACTCTCTTTGTAAGAGGGCATAGACAGACTGGGAAAAATATCTTGTCCTGGAATTAACTTCTCACTGTCTCATAATACCCATTAGATCTAGTCCGTAGTGCAAAATCGGTAGTTTGTCATGTTGTTTCCTATATTTTGGTATCCACCTTTTGACATGTTTGTTACTGTAATTTCCGCTTTCTCCACGATTACTTGGATTTTCTAATCATTGCCATCAGCCACCAAGATGACACTTTTTGGATGTTCTTCTATTTCAAGGGATTCAATGTGCAGTCACTGAACATCAAAGCTTTTCCCTGCAGTGCATAGTCACCACTCAGCTAGGTGTGGAGGAACCCCGTTGATTCTGACCCAGCTTTACTAGGGAAATCTCCATTTGTGGGTCCATCAGGTTAATGTAAGAAAAGTTCCTCCAAATCTCCAATGCATCCATTTCAGTATGCTCTCTATCTCTGCCTCTTAAGGTGAGGATGAACATCTCATGTCCCTTTCTGGTGTCTGCATATTGCACCTGGGATCATGTACCACACACCCTTGCGGCCCGTTTTACTATCCCTTTAGTATCTATCTTAATGTAGGGGCTGGCTGGATGCATTAGGGTTGCTCTCTTTATCTCCCTTTCCCTAACCGGCTGCCATGAACCTTAACTTGAACCATATCTCCCTGTTTCTTCTGAGTGCATCACTGTATGTATCCGCGTCTCCTCTCTTCTTCTTAAATCATTCAGTTAGGAGCCCTACTTCCAATTTTTGCTTTGTCTCCATGCCATGGCTTCCACATTTGTACTCCCAGGATCTGCCTCTAGGCTTGTGCCTCTTCAGAGGTCTACTATCAAGGGCAGGTCTTCGTCTTGTATGTGACCATGGAGCCAAGTTCCATGGTGGAGATCATCTCTGCCTCTCTGTCTCTCTCTCTCTCTCTCTTCCCTTCATCCTGCGAACTCTTTGCACTTCACCAATGAAATGCCCTCTACTGATTTAAACACCTCAAAATCCAAGCAATTATGAATAGTATGCTATGCTGCAAGGAGATAAGATGTTTATGAATCATACATTAATTGAGTTGCTTCACAATCTCTGACTCTCACATTATACCCTAGGGTCTGTTCTCCTTTCTGAAATTATCAATATTCTAAGGTATTTGGTGAACATGGGCTAGATTTTGTTTCAGAGAGAACTGCTCCTTGACTGCATGCTGGAGTTTCTTCAATGTTTATAGAAAAGGCCCTCACTGCTGGTGTGTGTTGCCATTGATTCAAGATGCCATGCCGTCCCAATGGAATTATGTGTTTCCACTCTGAAAATTTAGAATCCAGGATTGGGCATCAACATATCATGACTTGGCTATGCTCTTTAGTTTGAACAAGCTGAATGACTATTGTCATTTATGATCATAGTGTTATAAGGAAGCCAGGATTTTCATGTTGCTCAAATATAGGATCATGAATGTTAAGATATGATTATGATGACTGCAGATGTAGTTTCTTAGGACATTGATAAGCAAGAACCCATGTACAAAATAAAACTCAAGTCCAAAACTGTGCTAGCATAAAAATATGTGAAATTAGGGCTGATAATCACAGGTTTCTCCAAATTACTCTGTCAATCTTAAATATTAAAGAAAGATAGTTCTGCAGATAACTTTCAGATTTCATGTAGTGTTCCAATAGAGGACCGTTAAGCAAGATGTGAATATTGGCTTCTCAAGGGGAAAATTGGTGGAAAGCAGAAAACATCAGGAGGTGAATAATCATAACTATATGGACTCCTAATTTTTTATTTTAAAAAAAAGAAAAATATGGAATAGATTTTTGTTGAAATTCTAATAATCATTGTCATCATTGTCCGAGCCTTATCCCAAATAGTTGGAGTCAGCAATTGAAATAACTATGCCATGGCAGGTCCCAAGCCAATTATGCATGTCCCAAGGAGGGGGTTGTAACGATCCTAGGTGGTTTAAGGGCCTTACTTTCTACGTTTCTATCACCCAAGGGTTTCGAGGCATATTGGTTAGGTACCTAACATTTGGTATCAGAGAAACCACTGCAACCCAGGTTCAAATCCTAGGAAAGGGCTACCTGTGGAAAGGGCTACCTAAAGAAATAAAATCAGAGTGAGAGCCACCATAGAGTGAGAGCCGCCGAGGACGTCGAAACTGAAATGGCTACCTATGGAAAAGGCTACCTGAACAGAGTGAGAGCCGCCATAGAGTGAGAGCCGCCATAGAGTGAGATCCGTCGAGGACTTCGACTGCAGAGCGTGGTGGTATGTAACGATCCTAGGTGGTTTAAGGTCCTAACTTTCCGCGTTTCCATGACTTAAGGGTTCTGGGGCATATTGATTAGGTATCTAATAAGGGTGTGTTAGGTTGGTAGCCACCAGAAAACTTTTGCCGCATCTATTTCATGAATCCTGATCCAATGTTATTAGTCGCACCAATACAAAATAAACGAAATGCTAGTTTAGTAATAATGGGAATAGAAACGAGGAATTAGTTAAGATTGATGGCCAAAAAGTACTTAAAAGATATTATTTCAATACCTTGAGTTGATAATCCATGGAAATGAAGAGATTGAGGAAAGATATCTTGCATAAAATTAGATCTGGGTGGACAAAATGGAGATGTGCTTCCGGCATTTTTTGTGATCGTCACATACTAATGAAACTGAAGGGGAAGTTCTATATGACGGCTGTAAGACCAGCCGTCCTATAGAATAATGAGGGAACTTAGGGGTGGCTTCAATAGGCGATAAGATGAGGAAAAATAGACTTAGGTTGTCTGGGCATGTATAGTTCAACTTAGAAAAGCATTGCTTAAGATGGTCGATTTGGTAAAGGTTATAGATAGAAGTAGTCAAAAGAGATATAGTGACTTATGGTCTGACTATAGGTCTGGCCCTTGATAGAGTGGAATGCTGGATTAGGATTCATGTAGCCAATCCCAATTAGTGGGGACAACGTTCGGATGATGATGATGAATCAAAATTTAATAATAGTTATTAAAAATAGGAAATTATTTGAAATTTTGAAAACCATGTATTCTGAAACAAACTCAAGCATACTATAAAAACTTACTAAACTAGTGGATAAAAAGTGCAAATGGTAAGAAACGTTCTTTGCTGGCCATTAATTTAGGAAGTTGGGGCTTCCATGTATGTTTTCACAGGGTAATACAACAAACCTATGCAGTATTCTCCAGGGCTGCTAAATCAAAAAATTGATCGAGACATATTTTGAGAAATTGCAATACATCTATAGGGAATGTTTTGGTTCTTAATTGAGGGGGTTCATCAAGACACTGTAACGGGCATGAAAAAGGTGAAAGCGAATTTGAAAATACTTTTGTAATGAAAATTCTGGGGTTGTTACTGCTTAGTTTTTAAAATTACATGTTCTTCGTGTGGGAGAATATACTTATACATGGATAAGCTCAATACATTATCTTGTATGCTCACTATCTTATTTCATGTGTGGATCTTACTGATCCTAAGATATTGAAATACCTTTAGACATATTCATTTAGTATTATTAAACAAACTGAAAAGTTACTCTAATCCTACAACATGTCATTTAATGTTAGGAGCAGTTGTCTAACGTGACCCCTTTCCGTTTGTCGCTACTGTTGATTCCCTAGGTAGCCACCAACCTTTGTAATCTCTCAGATTTTTGGAGAAATATCTCATCTGGCATGATCGTAGGATTCATTTAGATTATGTCACTGCAATTTACTTTCAATCCAATGTTTATGACCATACCCAAGTTATCAAAGATTGCCACAATATTTGTGAAGGCTGGAAAGCAAATGGCTGAATCACATCATCCTTAGATTGCCAGCATTTCTTTTAAAAGCAATAAATTGTATTCAGCATCACTTTCTTGTTCTTAATTCGTGACTCATTGTACATTGTATGGGTGATATATAGATATGCATGCTTGATTGCTTGCATATTTCTTTCTTGGTTTCTTTTCTCTACACTTTGTCATATATGTTGATTAAACAAGTGGTACAGTCTGTATTCATCATGTACCCGGAAAACAGTTTTTTTCATGTAAAAGGTAGTAGTTCTGTTTCATATACTTGGATTGCTATTAAGATATATGGGATAAGGCTTAGATGATGATACTTGGATTGCTATTAAGTAATTTGATTCACGAGATGAGGGGCGCATTCTTTTATGAAACCGTTGTAAGGGAGTAGCAAATGCTAATGTTCTGGTCTTTTAGCATGGAGACATCATTGTTATAGGCCATAGGAAGGATCCTTTGCAACACAATGGGCAGTAATGCTGAAATTTCTTGATTTCAATTAGATTGTGTAAAAGTTCAGAAAATAGTTGCAGTTTTAGGCAGAATAATCCAAATAGGAGGGAAACCTTGAGGTTGAACTGGTTGTTGTAACAAGTTGGAGAGAACGGTAGTATATCAGATAAGCTTTAGTATCACCAGATTTGCTTCTCAGGTGAAGAAGGTAAGACAGTGATCATCATCCTGCGATGGTTTCTGAATTTTGTGGGCTGGCTTGGCTTGTGTATGTGGATTATTCTATAGCTGTTGCTGATCACTTGGTCAAATAACTAGGAAAACTAGATGTCAGCGAGATTGGACATGTTCCTTATATTGAGGGATTGGCAAGCCCAATGTTCAAAAAAACGGAGGCAGGTGCCTGTGTGGGGGCCGCCTAGGCAGGCGTCCAGAAGCACCTTAGTGGTGGGGGATGGTGGTTACACCTTGGCTATAATCTATTTGTCTGAAACATAGACATGATTTTTTGCACTATGATCTTATTTATTTCAAACAACAATGTCCTAATCTCTTCAAATGCATACATATATTTTTTACTTTTTCCCTCAAATTCTTTGTTGCATAATATCTTATAATTTTTTATTTTTTCTTTTTTATTTTTTATTTTTAGCCGACCTCCTGGCCAAGGACGGGGCTAGGGTCCAAGGCGAAGATTAACCCCGGTCCAACTCCTTTTTTGCTCTGGACCACAGAGGGTACTCCTAGATGCATATTTCCTTCCATACGGGCAACTTTAGAAGCCCTTTTTTGTAAACTCATTGTAACTCATTTGTACGGAGGCAACTTTATAAGCCAATTCTTGTATAGGGTCAGTTGACCTATGTTTTACCGAGAGTACCGTCTAGAGGGTACTCTCCGACTAAACCAAAATGTACTCTCTTTCTTTACAGTAATACAAATGTTAACATTTCTCAACAAAAAAAATATCTTATAATTTTTTGTGGTGTTTGGCCAAATTTTTTACTCTTCTTATAATTAATCTCTCCAACCTGAACGTACAACTAACCCAAATTTGTGAGTGTCCCTTGCACATTTAGTAGCACATATTATCAAGACTAGTCATTTTTATCATCAACGATCATTTCAAAATTACGTTTAAAGAATAAAAAAAGCGATCTTTCTAAAATAATCAACATAAATCACAACTCAATTCCTCAAATTAACTATTAATTGCTCCCAATTAACCATCGTTGTCCATTAGAGCAGCCAAAAAAAGTGATATAATCTCAAAACCTATAATCCCCTTTATTTAGGGAGCTTATGCTTTTTTGGGTGTTTGGGGGCCTACATTCCCCCCCCCCCTACCTATACTGCCCCCTTTCTTCTCCCACCTTTTTTTATCGGGGGATAGTATCTTTTCCCTTGGTTGAGAGCCTTTTTCTGCCCTTGGCCAAGTTGTTCTAAGTCACCGCCTACGCACCTCGAGGGGACCACCTAGGAGCAAGGATGCCCAGGGCACCCACCTGGGTCCTGCCTAGGCGTTTTGGCTGCCAGGCAGCCAAATTTTCGATCATTGGGCAAGCAGGCTGAATTTCCGAACATTGGGCATGCCTATTCTCATGGGTTAACAACGGTACTTTCTAGACCGGTCTTAGGCCAGTGTTCTATCCTACTTGATGTCTCAGAGACGGATTATGGTCACTCTCTATTTCATTTGGAAAATACTTGGTTGGATCAGAGATGGATAGGGTCTAATCCTTGAATTGGATTACAAAACGAAGGTGGTGCTAGTTTTAGAACAAACAAAAACTCCAAACAATGAAACGTCAACTTAAGAAGTAGAACGGATCTAAACTAAGCGATTTTTAAGGGATAAAATTGTGAAGATACTAGATTGATTCTACTTGTTTATATTTTTCTGCAATAATATGTATATATATTTTTTTGGTAAAAAGAAGAGCCTTAGATCTTAGATAATCAGGAGAAGATTGCTCCACTCACAAAAATTATAAAGAACAGAACTGATGTGATGAGATTATCATGATATAATAAGGCACAGTGCAGTATCTTGGTGCCAAAATTCCACAGTCAAATGCATCATGGAGGGAAATAACTGTGTTAGCTTCTATCATGAGATGGGTAACACAGAGAGAAGATGGTATGAGGAGGCATCTAAGGGCATTGCATCTACTGTAAGTTTGTTTCAAGGTTGCATGTATTCAAATTTAGAAGAAAAATCAGAGCCCAGCACAATAAATTTGACAATACTCTGGTAGTATAGTACAAGCAGACTTGGAAGGGTGCTCTGAAGAGATGAAATTGGATGAACGAGGGTTGTAATAGAGAAAGATCGTGCTCGACGGGGTAGATGGCTTCTCCATTGGCTGTCTAGGACTACTAGTAGTTAAGTGACCATGAGGCAATGGATATAAATTTATGAAAAAATGAATCTTAAATATTAGTATTTTCATTTTTCAATTGCGATACTGCAAGCTTTTTTTATAATTAAGTGCTCCTGTAGTTATTTTCTTTCTCACATTCTGAAAATAATATATTATTACCAGCTGAGTGATTTACTAGACCTTTTTTACATCGACTCTGTCCAATTGTATGTTAGTACAGGAAATGGTTTATACTTTTTGCACATCGGTACAAATTTATGTTTCTGATATCAGGTCATTTCCTCTTGACGAATCTTCTTCTCGAGAAACTGAAGAATACGGCTAAAACTACCGGAATTGAGGGGCGGATTGTGAACTTGTCATCTATCGCACATCTTCATACCTATCACGAAGGGATACGATTTGATAAGATCAATGATCAATCAGGGTACATGCTTGGGAATTGGAGTTGACTTTTGAATAACCTCGTACAAAAGTTGTTAGAATGGCAGCATTGCTTTAGTTTTAAAACTTCTAATGTGATTGCTCAGCTGCTGGACTGAGATTTTCTTTTTGATCTCTTGATTCAGATACTCTGATAAAAAGTCCTATGGGCAGTCCAAATTAGCGAACATCTTACATGCAAAGGAGTTGGCACGTAGATTAAAGGTATGTGATGTCCTCTGTCCATTAATTCGAAGTTCTTTATGTAACTTTGTACCCAAATATAAATTACAGGTATAACCAAGGACCCAAATTTAAGTTTCATGCAAGCAACAAAATTTCAATCGTTGAAGCTTCATGCAGTCTTCAAATCAGGCAGGTCCTACTAGGACCTGCCTGAGTCAACCCCCCAAAACTTGTCAGGGAGTTACCGCAGTAGTAGTGGCCTGAGTTACTCTGGCAACTTGGGGCAAGTAATGTATCAACTCATTGAGTTTCTGACAAACTTGGTGAGTTTACAGAATCTTGCTGTCCTACAAAATTCAGTTTAAATAAGATGGGGCAGAAATTGATTCCCCCTTTCCTCCACTTTTTCAGTGGTCTGAGCTCCAATTGCTTTGAAACTTCACCCTAAAGCATCCTTTTTGTCATCTATCAATTAGAACATCAGATTCGTCAAAGGGAGCAAAAAAAAAAAAAAAGAATCGAATACCAGATCTTCAAACCAGTGTTGGCCGTAGTTGACTCCTTCCGAAATTTTCACTCCGTTGTTTGATCCACCCTGAAATATCCTGCCTTAGCGTATTTTTGTATTATGTATGAAATCCAGGGCTTATTTTCCACTAAAAGAACACCCAAAATGTTTTATTTGCTAGGTTTCCAATATAAAAAGTCATTTAGTTGAATGTTTCATCCAGAGTATGCCAATAAAATCAACTCATTATCTTTCTTCGTTTTGTATAGAGGTTTTCTTAATTTTTTGTGCTTTTCATATTTTTTTTATTTTTCCAGAATATTCCCCTTATTTAGGTAATTGTTTGTGGCCCACTCACCTGACTCGGGTAAGACTTGCCGAGTCTGTACTGAATTCGCTTAGTGGACTTGTGCGGGGCACCCAGCGAGATTTGGTTTAAAGTTTAAACCACTAGTTTCATTTAGTTTATACCTAATATTGTCCGAGGAACCAACGGTTCTAATCATAAAGGGAAGTATACTATATAGGTGATGTAAACCCCATTATTTTTTTAATTGTTTGTTATATTTGTTATATGCATTTTATAAAATCATTCTTAATAAACAGAAAATACCACAATTTTAAAGTCCATCATTATCTATTCTTTTCCAATTATTGCTTGTTAACTGTTCTTTTCTAAAAGATTATTATTATTTTGTATTGCCAATTTCAACCCAGATATATAGGCTGATACGATTACATTTTGCTTGAAGCCTCATCCACACTGGACTTTGTCACGCCTTTATTAACCTTGCAATGAAAAATTACAGGGATAGGCAGATAGCCAATGGATAATTCTGGTACTAGCCAAAAAAAAAAAAAAAGAACAAAATAGCCATGGTTGAATATTTTGGGAGGATTTTGGATCTGATATTCATATGGGTCTTTGAACCATAATTAACAGCCAAATTTGGTCAAACTCGACCTTGATTTGTAAGGAAATCGGACAACATGTGGTGCACTGTGTGATCTTTTTGAGAGGAGGGGCTGAACTTGAACCTGGTGTGCCATAATTTGGATCACTTTCTGTTGAAGATCATATAGAATCCGTCACTCTTTTCCAAATTCCAGGCATTTGGATCTGTATTTTGGTTCTGTTCAATAGAAAATCAATTTCTTTGAACACTGTGCTTTGCTTGAAATACAAAAATGTAATGACCTTGAATCCTAGCTATGTTCCTTACAAAACTGAAGACTTTGTATTCTGTCTAACGTATGATTCCTAATTGCTTCCTACATGAGTCTTTTTTGGGCTCATAAAATTTATGGATATAATCGTTTCATTTTGTTTTTTGTTCTCTTGGATGATTCTTTCCTCGATGCTTTTATGATGTTAGAGACTTTTGATAATTTATGGCAAAGTAATATTTGAAACCCACAATGTAATACTTATTAAAAAAAAATCCACAATGTAATAACTACTTCTCACGACTTTTATTCCTTCGTGTGACTACAATAGGAGGAAGGTGCGAATGTCACTGCAAATGCTGTTCACCCAGGGCTTATTATGACAAACCTGATGAGGCATTCCTTCATCCTTATGAGTATGTTGCCTGCAATTCTAGTAACGTTACCTAGTTAATAACATTTAATTGGTTGATGCCTTATGAACCTTTGTAACTTTCTGTGTATCCTTTCCAGATATACTGAAAGTGTTCACATACATCCTTTGGAAGACAGTGCCACAGGTATTCACATACCTCTTTCTTTTTCTCTCACTCTGCACAAATTCCTTAAATCTCTTTATTTAGAATTCTCTTTGATTTGTTGTATATATACAATGCTTATGCTGCCAAAAGAGGCCATATCCATCTCTCCTGAAAAGTATTTATCTTAACCAAATGTTAATTTAAAATATAGTATATTATAGAGAAGAAATAGGAGCCACAAATAAGATACTTAAAATATTTAGAAAGGGCTTTATACACTAATTATACGTACCAAAAATAGGAATTATAAGAAATAAGAATTTCTGTAATAGTATCCAGCTTATCCAAAAAGGAAACCTCAAGAAAACAAAAAAGACAAACAATAAAAAGTAGATAGAAAATTTGAACATTATAAAACTGCAAGGAATGAAATAAAAATAAAACTATTTAAATTTTTAATTAAAGTGTTTTAAATTTTATTTTTAATCAAATCTCACACAGATTTCATCTAGGTGATCGAAATAAAAAATGAATATAAAAGAAAATAGTGGAAAATGAGTATTTCCATTTTTGGTAAGTGCAGGTCATCCATTTGGTGGACAGTAGATCTAGGCTTTCTGGGTTTCTACAATTCTAGCCCCTGGCCAACACCGAGTTCACACACACACGCTCTTAGAGAAAAAAAGGATATATGGCGAAGTACAATAAGACCATTTACATATGTGCAAAGAGGTCACGAATACCCTTGGCCATTGGATGTGCAATCGGGCAACTTGGGGTGACCCACTCATTGGTCACAAAGTCGAAAAGAAATAGTCTTTGTGACACTAGCCAAGCTGTCAGATTTCACGTTTGACGGCTATGCATAATTGTGACCACCTTGTAGCAAAGGTAAATAGTCTTATAGAGTGTGTATGTATGTGTGTATGTGTGTGTGTGTGGGTGTGTGTGTGAGCTAGTATTGCATACTACCCAAGGAGCATGCAATACACTTTCTCCCTTGAGCAAAAGACCTACTGAGAAATTTTTTGTTATCTGATATTTCGGGATCCACTTATATAATCCCCGCATGAATATTTTCAAAAAGGAAAAAAATTATTTTTCGTTACAAGAACATTAGGTCTGCCCATCAATCAAATGCTACTTTTCTAGGGCATATAAAGAGTGCATATGATTGTTCTTAAGGTTGGTTACTAGGTTGAGGAGGTTACATCCCCATAATTTGGTGTCTAACAGTACTCCTTGAAGGGTTTTATCCCAGAGAATGAATGTATGATATGCTCCTAGGGAAGTGATGTGATTTTATGGCTAATACATTCTTGCAGGGTGCTTCGTCATCTTGTTATGTGGCCCTCCATCCAAGTCTCAAAGGCGTGAGCGGGAAGTATTTTATTGACTGCAATGAAATTGCACCGGGCGCATTGGCAAGAGATGAGGACTTGGCGAAGAAGCTCTGGGATTTTAGTGACAAATTGGTGACCTCATTGTCAAATCCTTAAGATTGCAGTGGCTCTGGAAGCTTGGGAGTTTTTTAGTACTGATGTGGTGTGCCATTTGCATATAAAGTTGGAATGCTAGTGTGGATAGTGAATGTTTTATGCAGTAAACCCTAAAACTGGCCTTACTTCTGTAATATCTGAAGGCTTTCAATGGTTTAGAGGTGAAACTAAATAATGTTATGATAGGTCAAGTTAAAGCAAGCAAGGTCCCAAGTTGAAGGGCCAAGAAATTTTAACTTTGTACCTGTCTCACAAGCTCAAATGCCATAGCACAAGCTGCGAGGCCGAAGTGCACTTGTGAGTAGCTTCTATGACTTAAATGCAGCTCAAAATTCTGAACTAATCGTGGAGGAAAAATGAAACATGCTTCGTTCTATATGAATGAAGTTGTGTAATGTGCTCGGTATATTTCTCCTAGAACTTTCCTTTTTTATTTTTATTTTTATTTTTTTTTTATTTTTAAGATCTTTACAAGATTCATTACAATAGGATTCTACTAGTATAAAACTTGCTTTTTAGCATTTATTTAGGGTTTTTGCTTGTGTCATGCATTGTAAAATTATGGTTTTCTGCTGTAGTGTTTTCTATATCTCTGGTTTCCACCTCTTTTCATCTCAACCCGAACTTCCAACTGTTTGGTCGATAAATTGAAAATTATAATTGCAACAAAAATTTCTTAGGGTGTTGCTGTAAGATTCAATGGTTGTAGACTCTTTAGTAAAATTAGCCCTTAGAGAAGTTTTATTTAGAGCCATTCCCGCTTCTTTTTTCAAGATGTGAAAATATTCTGAAGACAATCTTTTCAGAAAGTAACAATAGCTATTTTTAGGAGATTGTGCCATTAGGAATGGGGCTTGAGTCTAGACAGTAGCAGCTGAGTTTTAATAGCACTGCATCTCAAGTTCCATTCCTGTCCCCAAGTTACATTCCTATGGGTAGGGGCACTTTCCCCATTGACCCCCCCCCCTTTTTTCCGACTGAAATAAAAAAAAAAGAAAAAAAGAAAAGAACAGGAGATTGTTCCATTGGAATCATCAGAAAATGCACCAACTGGGCAGTTATGGGTAGGGGCCCTATCCCCACTGAACTAAAAAAATAAGATTGTGCCATTGGAATCATCATAAAATGCAACAAATAGGCAGACTTACAGTACTAAAAAAATAAGATTGTGCCATTGGAATCATCATAAAATGCAACAAATAGGCAGACTTACAGTACGTTAGCTTCTCTATACCTCTAATCTAAAATATGATTATGAGCATATAGCATGACAACTTGTGGATTTGGATTTGGATTATAGAACCTCTCAACTGGGGATTTGGATTGGATTTACCGTCTTGCCTTTAAACTTGTCAAATGGTATTTACAACATGGTGATACATGCTTGTACTTATGCTTTTCTAAATAGTTGATGGACCATTAATGGTCTTTTTCCTATTGAACTCTTCCTATACTATAAGACCGTTTCATAATAATTTTTGTAAGATCTAACAAATGAAAGTATATCACAGTATTATTGTCCAAAAAAAAGTGTCACAACATTCCTAATCTTTTTTTTAGACTTTATGTTTAAACGATGACACATCCTCAACCACCCGATTTCAAATCTAACAGTCAATTATGATTGTGACATGTTTGTATAAAAAATGAATGGTCACTGTATACATTTTCTTATTAAAGATTACGAACACGTACCTGTTATAAACATGGACACAATAATCTGTGTATGGTTTGTATTAAAAGAATCCAATTGACCTACCTTTATTTTACCAAGTTTCATGACAAATGTCCTAACTTCCCATACAATGTATTAGCAAAATGCACATACATTGTACGTGTATTGTAGAAGCAAAATGCACTGTGAAAAATTGTATGGTTTGGAGCGTTTAATATGTCACACTAAAAGAATGTGATGGTTTGCTGTAGAGAGATCCATTACCTATCTAAAACATTAGGAAAGCGTTTAATATGTCACACTAAAAGAATGTGATGGTTTGCTGTAGAGAGATCCATTACCTATCTAAAACATTAGGAAAGTCACCAAATTTCACAAAATACTTATGGGGCAAACTTTCCATGGTTCTTGTACAGCATAAAGCGTATATGCTTCCCCATGTCCAAACGTTTCTCCTTATCCAAACGTCTATTTTGAATGGACGTTTGAGATGGCCCCAATCACAATGTCACGCCCCTACACTATTTTTGTTTTTTCCATAAATTATTTTGACACTAAATTTTGGATGTCTACTCCTCTCTTAAACTTGCACTTGAAAAAAAATATAAAACAAATATTATCATAAAATAAAATGACTAAAATACCTTTGAAAAATTCAAGGGGTACTTTGGTCAATATATTTTATTGAAATTTTTTTAAAAATATTTTTCGTTGGTGTGTCCCATTGAGAAGATGATACGAAAAAAATTTCATATTCATACAATTTGTAAAAAAAATTAAAAATAAAATACTGTAAGACGTCAGATCTAGATCAAACGGCGTGTGGATCAATTGATCTAAATGAGGGGAAGCATATCCTTTACGATGTAGGGGAAGTATAGAAACCTTTCCCATACTTATGATAACACAAAAAGAAATAGTGCTTTTCATATTGAGAATATAAGTTGAAGTTACTTGTAGGTAATTCAATTTCAAACCCATCATAAGAAAACCCAGAACTTCATTAAACAATGTTACAAAGAATGATAGCAAGCAACAGGAGCATCAATATTGAAGTGTCCTTCAAGACTTGTCCATTAAAAATTTTTCTGTGCAATGACAAAGGACTACAAAAGGAGTCGACAATAGCTGGATGTTTCATGTCCGTTTGTTGTACACAACCCTGTCCACAGCTTTCCATTTCCGTTTGTTGTACATAACTGTAGTGGACAATAGCCTGATATTGTGCAAGCTTTCCATTTCCCTTTGTTGTACATAACCTTGGAAGTGAGAGATGAAGCACTATAATCAATTTTGAGCAATGAAATATTGTGTTTAATCCAAGTGTGTAAATTCAAGTAACATATAACTGGCAATTTTTTATAACCAAAAATGCAAAATGTAATATATGCTTTCCACAATCTACACATTGGCCATGTTGAAGACATTACGAGTTTTACTCAGGAAACCTATTGCGGTTGTAGAGTTGGGTTTTATAGATGACATGGACATTCTTCAAAATATCATGAAACCCTTTCATTGATGTTCATTACCCATGATCACAGCTTTCAGTAAAATTGATGGATATTAGTTTGAATATTAGTAAGATTTTCTAACAAAGCAGTCATTTAACAACATTCCATTCAGAATGTGTGTGGAGAGAGAGAAGAACCCACATGTTATTTATATTTGCATAAAAAAAAAAAAGCATATTAGTGAAAGCATTTAAGAAGAAAAATATTCAGATTGAATAAAAGATCAATCTTTTTTACAATAGTAAAAGGACATTCAATGAATTCTTAAATGGAACATTTTGTGCTAAAACGATGTTCTCCTAAAGTTTCTTTAGTTGAGAAGATACCAAGCACATAGAAGCAAAGGAAACAGTGTAACATATAAGGGAAGGCCTGCTTATAGCATAGAAAAAAAAAGGTTCCGGAAGAAAGATTATTATAGTACCACTTTCCTATTGCAATATGTAAATCGAATCGAAGCAAGATGGCACATATAAAAGAGAAAAAGAACCAAAAAAAACGTTCAAAAGAAGCTACCTAAAAGGAAAGTGTAGCTCATGTCAAAAGCTGTTATAGGCCATCCATTTTAGTGAGATGCTTAAATATAGGTCTTACTCTTTTCAAACTTTATTATCATTAGATTAACACGGTTAAAAAAAGGAAAATTTGATTTTGAATTCATAAAGACCTAGATCTTGAAATTCACCAAATGGACGGTCTAGATTCATTGTTGGAGATGACTCATTTTGACCAAATATAGGGTCCAAACTATTTTTTTTAGATTGATTATTGAGATGAAGAGAGTGTGTGTGCAAAATTTTGGGTCATACAAATACCACAAACATGGTTCTCTAGAAGTGCCGTTTCATTAGAT